GATTACAATATACACACTGACATATACATTGACACTTTCTTGATAAAATAGATAAAATGTTAGACTAGAGCAATCTGTTATCTTCTGTCTTCCTTCCTGGGTATCCATACCAGGACTACATCTATGACTTTCAAAATCATAAAAATTTGAACTGTTGCCATAGCAATAAACAAAATATTATATCTTTTGTATAGGAAAATATTATATCTTCTGAACAGGAAAAAGTCATCAAAATGTCACAGATAACAGGAATATGAGCCCTATATTCATAGGGCTCATAGATGCACAGCAGCAGCCTCAGGGGAATCCCCAGGTCCTCGGGCCAGAGACAGAGGAGTCCTGGGCTCCTGACGGGACAGGTTTGACCACGCTCCAGAGGCACATCTAGAGGACGTCCAGCTTTTATGATCTCCTTAAATATCAAATTGCTTTGACATTTCACGTCTGACATTGCCAAAGGAGATGATGACTTATAATAGTGATCTGTGAATGCGGTGCATTGGTGCTCTGGCTGGCTCAATCTTATGATACTACTGAGTATTGAAATATGAAAGCAAATAAATGCATAACTTTAGTCCTATATGGATAAAAAGAAGTTATGTTCTTATATGTTCTTTCTGTACTCTGTGTTTAAGAGGTTTTAGCACCACATTAAAATCAGGACTGGGATTAAAGATCCTAGCCCACTAGAACCAGGACTAAATCAGGACTAAACCAGGACTTAACCTGGACTAAACCTGGACTAAACACATGTGTTAGTCCTGGTTTAGACCATTGTTTTTCTTGTTTCATGACCTATTAGGCACACTTAACATATTTGAGTTTTAGCAGTTGATATATGGTGCCAGTTTATACACTTTAATTTGCCTTAGAGGTCCTATATTATGTAAAATTGTCTCCTGTGATCTTTAAGCCATGTTAAAATGTTGTTACAGCATCAACATAAACATACCTGGAGTTGGGTTTTGTTTCATTCACACATTTATTGATAGTCTGTCTATATCTCTAAAGCTCAAAATGCTTTGTTCCACCTTGTGATGTCATGGAGTGGTATTTTTACTTTGAACCTTTTTGGCCATTCTCAGGCTAAAATTATCCAAATAATTCTAGTGAAGTTGTATGGAGTTTAAAAACACAGAGGAACACTTCCTGTATTGCCACATGAAGAACACACCCTAAATATGTAGAATTTGTTTGTCACACATGTGTGAATGAATCAAAACACAACTCCAGGTATGTTTGCAAGAGTCTTTTTTTATGTTTTGTTAAAGCTATTAAAAGTGTGGTTACTGTAAGTTATGAGTGTGACTCAACATTGTGTAAGCTAAATGTTTTCTGTGAAGACATTTTCTATTCTTATACTATCAAAGCCAGATTCTTCTTCATGTACTGACAGTAACAGAATTGTCCTTCATTTTCTGCCTTGCGTCTCCAGGCTTCTTCATGCATGTGTTCTATAGGCTTCTGCACTGGTCTGTTCTCTATAAGTACACACTAACTAGCTGCAGATTTGAACGGAAACACACCGCATAGTAACACCATGTGACGTAGGAGCTACCAGTCAATCAGTGTGGGCTATTTATTCTCCCCACATGCTCCAACTGTTTACAGCCGCTCATGTTGTCCAGGCACGTAACTTTTATATGGGACCCCTGTATACAGTTGGCCCCCAGTCCCAATAACAGTTTTCCATGAGGTCAAAACATGAGAGGGGAGCCACCGAACCACGTCTGTCCATGAGATGAAGCCAAAGATAGGGACAAACAAAACCAATCACACCCCTGGACACCAGTGTCCCATTTGGGGATAGGGTGAAGGAGTGAGAAGGGGTTAGATTTGGGACACAAGGAGGACGTGGACAACACAGTATAATAGAGGCTTAGGGTTAGAGTTGATTTCGCAACCATATGAGTAGGAGAAGCTAAAGGACAGAGTTATACTGAAGTTAAACCTGGTTACTATTAATTATTATACTATGTTGGGCATGTATGGCACCAGGCCAAGTAACAGTTCACACTGAGGGATGGGTCAAATACAGAGGACACATTTCCCTACCTTACCTTACATAACACTGCCATAAGGGATATCCAGATTACTAAAATACTTGAAATCAGTAATCTGGACTTGGCTGTGATGAGTTATAGTTAATATTTATTAATTTTGATTATAGGACTAGATGTGAATTTTCTTCCCCACAATGGAACATTTTATTTTCTTATTTCTAATTTAATTACCATGATACGCTGTTGTACGCCGTTGTACACAGCTCACAACTCACCTCTGGACTAATTAAAAAAGCCAGTTTGTAAAAATTGCAAGTGGCTTACAATGATGTTTACAGGTGCTTTTGAGGAGGCCACGATGGACAAGTGCGACAGAGATGTTTGTTATCACGCAAGTGAACACTTTGCAAGCTGCACTTAGAATTTTAATGTACAGTTTTATCTGCAGACTGAACAAATCAGACAATGAAATAATAATGTCACTCACAAATATGAGATTCAGTGCAACAAAATATCAATCTAATATGTGGAGACAATTGTGTGGTTGTCTTTTAAAAACATACATGAATAAAGGATGATGATGATGATGATGATGATGATGATGATGATGATGATGATGATGATGAATGGCAACAGACAAATTTTATTATTGAGCTCATTCAATTAAATACATTATAATTAGCTTGTAATATTTTTAGTTGAATTTCTTTTGCAGTGTGCCAGCTGATGAAGCCCATACATATACAGCATCTTCAGCTAATGTATATGTTTTTTATTGCATATGTTCTAGCTTGTTTTATTGGTTACCTCTCCAAAATGCCCAGCCTCTAAACATCTAAGTGTGTGTGTTTTTGTTGAAAGGGTCTTTGAAAGTGTTAATGTAAGTATAGTTTTATGTTTTAAATGTTCACAAGTTTCATCCGGGACATAAATCTTGATTAGGGAGAATTCCTCGTGCCTTTAATGATGCGTTCAGGTTCAGGGCCAAAAGTGGAAAATCCAGGATGTCACAGCTCCTTCTCATTAACATCACACAGATTGGAGACTAAGCTATAAACTCACTGTTTACAAGCATCTGTCATAACTATATGTTTTCAGAGTATTATTATGTCAAAATGTCATGTTTTGCACACATAAACTTGCAACCTCATGGATGAGTTTTCATACAGAGAGGGGGTAGGCACTGAAGCCATATAATGTACTCATACATGATCAAAGTTGCCATACAAGTAGTTGATATGAGATATGAGATTAATCATTTCATATAGGATACAAAAATCTACGTTGCATTTTTACGTTCTATAATTGATGCTCTCATAGTGTTCTGACCTGCATTCAAAAAAAAAAATAAAAATACTGACTTGTCCCTAGAGGTCAAAGCAGAAAAATCTCCGCTGACTGACGTGTTATTTACTTAATAATAATATTTATTTAATGTGTTCATGGAAGGCATTCCCTCTAAGTAAACTATACATAAGTAATATTAGCTAAGGGTTTGTGTGTAAAATCCCTCAGTCGTCCAGGTAGAATTCATGGCAAAAGGTGAAATTCAATATACCATTAGCTAAGGCTATGTGTTTGATAATTTCATGGGTAAAACGGAAAAGGAAACTATACACAAGTTAATTTACATGCTTTACATGTTAAGTCAATAATGTGCCTTTGGGTTAGCATTAGCAATAGCAAAAACGTGGCTTGCTGTATTTCTTTGCTTTTCCACTAATATAATATAGGCCGAGAGCCAGGTGCACCCCTCAGGATGTTTTTTGCTACCTTTTTTTCACTATTATTTTCTGTTATCGTATACCTTGGGCCATCACGAGTTGATAGGAACCAACCTCAACTCGGCCCCGTTTGGCCTCAGGGCCCAAAAAACACACTTTTTGAGAAAAGCTATTTGCAAAATTATGTAACTGTAAATATTAAGGTACTGTAACTGCATACATGGTCAAATAACCCTAAAATTTGACATGGAGTATCCTGACACATGGGGGAAACTAGCAGAAAAATATTTTGGGGCTTGCTGCCTTTCTACTGTTAAATATCATCCTCAACATACCCCAAAAGACATAAAAAATGTCTGTCCGCCTGATAAATTGGCAGCAAAAGTGATCATTTTCAAACATTTTATTGCATATATCACTGCCTCAAATGTACAAGAAAAACTTCCCAAGTTTGTAAGCTTCAATTTAAGCCCAAGATGACCTTTGTATCTAGAGGGAAACAGCTGCTATGACCAAAGTTCTTCACTGTACCTCAAATCGGCAGAAAGCAGAACTTTTAGGCATTACCATTACATATGGGATTAAGCAGGATTTTTATTTTTATTTTTTTAAATAGAAACAATATTGGAAAAGAGGTGACTTATGTACTGCTGTACTATATGAAGTGAATTACATTAACAGTGAATAATATTAAAACTATTATATAGTGTATTGTGTTGTTACAGTTTTACCCTGGCGTCGGTGACTTATTGTGTGGAGGAAACGGGCGTCTACGAGGCCAGTATAGTCTCTTTAAAAGTAAAATAATTTAACTTTTGCTTATTTATACTGACAGAGAAGACGTTGAGTTAGTGCCAGTTTTTGTTTTGTGTGGACAGGCGTGTTACAATGATATCAACCGCAGGCCAACAAATCTGCATACTGACAAAAAACATAGAATTTTGACCTGTCCTCTCTGTATGTTTAATGCAGATCTTAAGTGAGTTTTCCATTCACAAACCGGTCTCATCAGCTCAGCTCCGGGCCCCTTGAGTCTAAACTAAACTCGGCTAATTGGAGGAAACCCCGGTGAGGAGAGGAGCAGAGGATCTCGGCTGCCGGACGGACCCATCTGGAGGTCTGTATGGGACGAGCCGCGTGCGTCACCGTCTGAAGTCGGTGAGGGGGGCGGCGCGTGCGATCCGAGGAGGTGATCCCCGGGTTTAAAAGCGCACGAGTCCACAACGAGCTCGTGCAGTGCGTCAGTGCGTCACAGCCGACCGGGCAAGCCAGGATCTCCCAGACACACAGGCGCACGCTCCCCAAAATAACCCGACTAGAAATTATAGGCACATGCACTTTTACGCGTTTGCTATAGCTTTGGATACGAGTTTTTGATCAAGGAACAACTTCACTTCTCTTGTAATTTCAGCTAAATACTATCCTGGGAGTATATTATCAACGCTTTATGGATAAAATACTACTGTGATCTGAAGAAATTTCGAGTTTGGTCACGCTGTTTTTGGCACGTAAACGCAAAATGAAGTCAGCTGAAGAAGGTAAGAGTAAGCTTTCAACTTGAGATCATTTTACAAAACTTTTGCCAATTTATCACCATTTATAACTGTATAATTATAAAATATATTTAATATCTGAGTTGTTTTGCACTACTTTTGGAATAGATGAATTGGAATAGGTGAACTGTTATATCGCAAATAAAGCTGCTATTTGGCTCTCTCCAGAAGCGCAGCCGCCCTTCGGGTTTAAGCGAAGTAGGCGTGGCTTTTGTGACTCACAAAGTGCTCCGAAAATAGTACCATTTGAACTAACACACACTTTGTAGAAACAGCACAGTGAATGATTTGGTATTGGAGTCGTATTGAGCACGCCCGGGGCTACCTTGACTCTGTCTAATTATAACTAACAGACAGTTTTTACGGCTTGCTTCTGTGTCAGTGCTCACATTAGGGTTAAATTTAGCTTTTATTGGAGACATGAGGTGCAGAGCTGATGTCATGTCTTTATTGCGGGATCCATAATTGCGCGTAATTCGCAGCAGTTGTGGGACACGGTCTGTCTCTCCGCTGTATCAGAGCTCACCAGTGCGGTCGTTTTCATCCGTGGACCATGCAACCCCAGCTGCAGTTCCCACGTTGTTATAACTCATCTTGGTTGGTGGTTTGAGAAATGTTGGACGATTTTGTCAACTTTACTCATTTAAAGATGCACTCTGTAACATTTCTGGTGGAGGGTAAGTCAGCTGCTCAGTTGTCTCCATGGAGAGTTTATTGGTATGACCGAGTTCCACAGTATAATATATCTATATCCATGGAGACAAGCAGGACACATCAGGCCAAGGTACAGGTTAGATCTGTAGAGAGGCGACCTTTCTCTCAGGAAGAATGTCTACTTTTTTTTTTTTTTTTTTTTTTAGCAATAAAGACAAGTATAATTGAACAAGACACACAAGTTTAATGTCACACTCTGGAACACAGGAAAGGAGATTAACAGCTGGTAGCCCACACACCCAAAAAGTTGCATAGTTCACATTTAACTGAAGCTCTATATCAGGCATGTCCAAACTGTGGCCCGGGGGCCAAATGCGGCCCTCGGACACATTTTTCTTGGCCCTCAAGCTTCCAGGTAAATTGACCCAAATGACCTTGCATCAATTAAAAAGTAATTTTTTGCTGCAAGTTTTTTGAAAATCTACCTTGATAAAGCAAATATTTAAGATTTCGTGTGTAGTTTAAGGATTTTAGCATGAATAAAGACTGATGGCTCATTCTAACATGATAAACACATTTCAATTATTCCCTGTACTGAGCACCAGTCTATGGCCCTCAATTGGCCCTCTGCTTCATCTGTGTTTAGAAATGTGGCCCTTGACGAAAAAAGTTTGGACACCCTGGTCTATATGATCCAGGTGTTTTTATTTTGCTATTTTGTCCAAAAATCAATTTGTATTCCAAATATGGAACTCGTCTCCAATTTCGCCCCTATAACTGCCAGCCTCGGTAAGCTTCATTTGACTGGAGCCAAACCCCCTATGGGTGATGTCACACTAGGGCTAGCAATTGACAGTGAATTATAGAGGTTTGAATAAATAATATGCCCTAGTAAAATCTGTGAAAAATCCAGCCATGTCATATAGGGTAGTCTTATTAGCTTGCAACAGCATTAAGGAGAAGCTGCCCCAGGAGTAGAGTAACTTTTGGAGGATTTCTAGCAGCAGCCGAAGAAATGAAAAGTAGCACTACCTCAAAATACTCTTCATATAAAGAAACTGGTACAGCCTGCACCTTTACAGCGGGCAGCTAAACTTCTCGTAGCCGGTGCCCAATGTTTATTTTCGATGGCTGCCACAACTTGGAGCGGGCCAACCAAAGCACTGCTCTGTTTTCATAATCCTATGTTTTATGGGCTACTGCATCAGTCACATGGCACTGACAAAATGTTCTGGAAAAGACACCTCGGTTGGAGTTTCTGATCTGTGAAATTTGTTGCTTCAAACTCCATTTCCTTTAGACAATAGTGGCTTTCATTAGAGGGCAAGAAATAAGGGAAGTGACAACACAGCTATAAGTAATGAATGGGCAAATCAGCTATGATCTAGAGCCAGATGAGTGCAAACTAGATTGGAAAGTGTATAGTTGTCTTTATAAGTTAATTGTAGATAACTGAATAATTTTGTGCAAGAATTGACTTTTCTGTATTTTCAGGTTGCCTTCTGGTAGTTTAGTTACATTTAACCAAGCTACAATTTGCATGTTTTTGTATTTGTTAGGGCAAACTTCAAGTGTGCAAAACGGTTTTCTCAAAGTAGTACAGGTGGGTAAATGCTGCAGTGAATTAGACTTTAAAATTTTATTGATCCATGAGGCAAGTTACATGGTCACATTAGACCAGTAAAAAACAGAATACATTTGAATAGTTTTAGTTGTTAAATGAAAAAGTGAGTTATGTGTCTAAAGTATAGTTAAAGGTATGTAAGTCTGCTCAACTCCTGATATTATTGCTCTGTTTGGAATGTTCCATGATCTGGCATTTAAAGTATATTTTTCAGTTGCAGGTGTTTTAATTGCTCAGAATTACTTTATAGCAGGCATTCTTACTGTGAGTGGAGTCACCTCTCCACAGATCTTACCTGTAACTTGGTCACGTGGCATCTTCTGCTTGTTGCCATGAAGGTAAATAGGTTTAGTGCCATATTGTGGAACATGCCATAACATCTCCATGGAGACAAGCAGGGTGCAGACACTCCACCAGAAAAGTTCACCTTTTCGGATGCCATTTTCAGTAATCTACCAAAATCAATCAGGCAATAAAGACAGAAATAACCTGGCAGTTACTGTATGTAGTCATAGCGAGTGTTGTTTTGATGGTTTGTTGACATGAAAAATAAAGTGCTCATATTATAATTCTAACTGATGGGGAATGGCCATGCTATTGACTAATCACTAATGTATATTACTGTTATGCTCCGAATCTTTTTTCAGATGCATTCAGCTACACTCCAAACATCAGCCTCTCCTTGCCCTTGAGCGCCCCCTGTCTTCCGTCCCAGTACCACAGTCTGCAGTCCAGCCCCACCATCTCTGTCACCGAAGCCCATCACCACAGCAACTTCGACTCCACCTCCCCCCAGGACGAGCTCAGGGCATCAGGGTACTTCTCCTCCCCGCGTCCCAATGGAGCGCCCGCCTTGGAGAGTCCCCGAATTGAAATAACCGCTTACAGCCAATTTACCGAAGAAGAGGTAGAGGAGAGCACCCTACCTGTTGCTAAAAGGGTAAATTCTATTGTTACGCTAACCCTCCCAAATGCAGAGGGTTACCGGGACCCTAGTTGCCTAAGTCCTGCTAGTAGTGTCTCATCACGTAGCTGCCACTCGGAAGCTTCATCTTACGAATCAAGCTTCTCCTACAACTACGATAACTCACCCCAAAACTCACCTTGGCAGTCTCCGTCAGTTTCGCCAAAAGGGTCAACTCTGGCCATGCCCGGGGATACCCACTCACCTTCCGGATCGCCCCGTACAAGCATTACGGAAGACACCTGGATGGGTCAGAAAGGGTCCCGACCAAATTCACCGTGTGGGGCAAAGAGAAAGTATAGCTTCAATGGTAGCGGTACACCACATAAGTACCCATATTCACCAACGCATTCGCCAGGTCTATCCCCACAAGCATCACCACGACTTAGCATTACAGATGAAACTTGGTTGCCGAATACTAACCAGTACACCAATTCGGCCATATTGGCAGCGATAAATGCCCTCACCACAGACGGGATGGTTGATTTGACAGAAGGGATACCGTTAAAAGCAAGGAAGACCAGTTTGGAGCACAGTACTACGCTTAGCTTGAAGGTGGAGCCGGTGAGTGAAGACATGGGTCAAACAGAGCTGTGTTCGGATGAAAGGTCTGGGCTGAAGAAGGAAGGGGGGTATGGAGGGGGGTTCCTGGATGTCCCACAGCATCCCTACTCATGGACCAAACCAAAGACATACATCAGGTGAGTGGAGGATATGATTAAATCCTATTCAATGAATCACATCTATCTATCTGTCTGTCTGTCTGTCTGTCTCTATCTCTGTCTATCTGTCTGTCTGTCTGTCTGTCTCTGTCTGTCTCTGTCTATCTCTGTCTATCTATCTATCTATCTATCTATCTATCTCTGTCTATCTTCCTATTAAATGTTCTTTCTTTCTATCATTCTTTCTTGATGACCACACAAAATATTGGTAGAAATTGCTCTCATTACAGGATTTCAAGACAGGATAAAATGATATTCATGAGTTTCAGCTTCATTTTATACGTTACATTCTGAGCACATTTCCCATTTAAATAATATTTTGGTCCTTATTTTTCATCATTCTGAAATCCATGGATTGATTGTGGAATTAAATCAAAATGTGTTGATCTGTTTTTATATTTATAATGTTTATTGCATTAATTTACATTACAATAGTCTTCAATAAGTTGTATGTTGTATGTTTATTGTCTGTTTCAATCATGCATATACCTGATGATCCAAATTATTTTTTAATGAAAATTTGATGAAACTGTCGGCAATATAAACGTAATATATTTAACTTTAACATCTTAGACAATACAGTAGATGTATGTACTATGTTTCAGCTTCAAGCCATCAACTGTAACTATTTAAAAACAGAACTTTGCTATACGCCCATTAAAATTGTTCTATTAAGCAACAACATTTTTAATATCAGCACCAATATTATTATAGCAGAGCAGCAGCGTATCAGTGTGTATGCTAGTTAGTGTGAAAGGTTAAAGGTTAAGCTCTCTAATACCTGTGCAAATACCTGATGATCATTACTTGTGCAGTGTTCATATTCACAGTTTGTCCTCCTCCTCTGTATCACAAGCTTTGGCGTATCTCTGTGTCCACATTCTGCACATTCTGCTTTGATAAACAGGTCTAAAATAACTCCTCTCTCTCTCTATCTCCCTTCCTTCTCTTTCCCTCTCTCTACATCTTTCGTGTCTATATTTCTTTTTCTTCATCTCTCTGTTTCTCTCTCATTTATTTTTTTCTCTTTATCTTTCCCTGTCTGCCCCCCATTGTCTCAACCTCTAATCTATCTCTCACCTCATAAACTTAACATCTCTCTCTCACTTCCCCTGCCTCTCTCTCTTTCTCTATCTTTTTTCTTTCTCTTTATGTATCTCCCCCTATCATTCTATTTCTCTCTCATCGCTCTCTCTTCCTTTTTCCCTTTCTACCTCCACCCTTTCTCTCTCTCTCACCCTCTCTTTCTCCCCCTCTCTCTTCTCTCTCCCTTCTCTCTCTTAACCTCTCCTCTTTCTCTTCCTCATTCACTCTCTTGCCATATTACCCTAACACATCCCTCTCTCTCACTCACATCATAAACCTAACAGGTCTTCTCTCTCTTTCCCTCTCAATCTCCCCCTATCTCTTTATGTCAGAAACATGTCTTCTCTCTCTATGTCGCCCCCTCTCTCACCAGTCTCTATCTCTCTTTCATAATCCTAACATGTCTTCTCTCTACATCTCTCTCTCTCTCCCCCTCTCATGAACCTATTATGCCTTCTCTATCTCTCCCTTCTCTCTCTCTTTCTCTCGCTCCCATAATAAACTTAATATCTCTCTCTCCCCAGCCCCTCCCTGCCTGCTCTGGACTGGCAGCTGCCCTCCTCTTCGGGACAGTACAGTCTTCAGATAGAGGTTCAGCCCAGGTCCCATCACAGAGCGCACTATGAGACAGAGGGGAGCAGGGGGGCTGTGAAGGCCCTCACCGGACACCCCGTGGTACAGGTCTGTAAATACAAGCACTTTGAGATGAGTATATTGAGGTAAACATGATCATTAAAACAATCATCAATTCTTTATGATATATTGAGAGTTAAGATGGAGGAAGTATGTATTTAAATCCATATAACTCACAAACCCTTTGACACACAGCTAGTATTCACATGCATGAATATTCAGTTGAGTGCATAGCTTTTGTACAGCTGTTTTCATATGCTGAAAGGAAGAGGGGACGGACTGACAACATGCAGTCTGTCTGCTCTCAGCATTTGGTTATTTCTTCCAGGTTTACGATCAATGAAAATATGATTTTATTTTTTTTTTGTCAGTATTTGCTGCTTTTATAATGTACTCTTTGGCAGTGGTTCTCACACTTTTTGAACTGAGTACCACCTAACCTAATATTTGGCTTTCCAAGTACCACCAGATCTATATCCGGACTTTATCAGGCCTAAATTAGCCAAACCTGGTCTAAAATTAGACCACTTAACAGTGGATACGGTGGTTCTAAATGATGACTGACTCAAAGGAGGACAAAAATATGAATAGGTTTGTTTCTTAATAAAACAAATATTCAAACTGCAGCAAATAAAACAGATATTAAAACTGCAGATCTCTCTGAGTACCACAGTTTGAGAAACACTGCTCTGTGACAGAATAGTGTTAGTGTTAATCAAAAATATATATTTTCAGACCCATAAAACTTATACAAATATACGCCACTGTATTTGCTAGTAGGCTTGTAGCATTTAGCGTGATTGTTTGTCTGGTGATGTAGTTATCTCACCGGTGTCTTTTGGGGCCCGCTCCAGACACCATGCTCCTATTTTCACTACCTTCTGTTTTCTTTGCCCCTTTGGCCCTATTTTCTTGGCACTTCGTCACCTCTCGCTTCAACGCGCTGTCCTCCATCTTTGGTACTAAAAACGCCTGCACTTACTTCACGCACTAGCGGTAATATTATTCTGGGATGTCATCATTTCTGAATCAGGATCTCATAGGTATGCTGTTAAGACGTCAGTCCCTGTCCAGACAAAATGAGTCAGACTTTTCCATTGATGTAGCAGGATTTACTCACCCAACCACAGTAGCACCGGTGGTCAAAACTTGAAGAAATATTTTAACTGTAAAAACATGTGGACAGACGATAGAACTGTGATGTCAGACTAAGAAAATACTAAAGGCAAAACCGTCAATTCACCTAACACAGTATGACAATGTATTAATATGTTGCATAACAGGTTAATAACTTTAGCAGCTGATATTTAGGCGTCAGTTCATGTTTTGGTTATTTCAAAATGGATAAATGGCAGTAATGTAGAGTTTCTTTGGCTGTTAGAATAATACAGTGAAAGGTGTTGAAGAGTGACATAGCTGCAGCAGACAGAACCTGTTTTCTGTCTATAAGCTCAAAGAAGCAATGGTCAAGGCAAACTATGTAATGTGCCAATGTATTTAAAGTTCTGTCACAGCAACTGTGACTATGGCAACAGAAACGTACAAATAACTGCTTCTCCATACAAGCAGATTTCAATGTAAAATTTTAAGCCATAGTAGGAAAAGGATGTAATTTCACATGGTATTTACAAGCAAATACACAGGCTAAAATAGTAAGTTTTCTCTCACCAACAAGTGCAAATTAGTAAATACAATAAATCTGTTGATGTAATGCTTTTGAATAAATCTAGAGCCCACCCTTATTACAACTGACTGCTCCATCAGATCTGGAACTGCCCATGTACTAAACACATCTCATACAATTTATTCATATCAGAGGTTAGACCCTATAGTGATCAGAGAGAGCGAAAGCATTTGTAACTTTACCTAATCAAAAACATACCCAGAGTTGTGTTTTGCTTCATTCACACATGTCCGAGTAATCCTGGATTTCTAGTCTGTCTGCATCACCCAAACTCAAAACGCTCTGTTCCAGCTTGTGATGTCATGAAGAGGTTACTTTTGACCTTTAGTTCAGTAGAGATTGGCAATTCCAAAGCTGAAATCATCCAAATCATTCTAGTGAAGGTGTATAGAGTTTAAAAAAACAGTGAAGCACTTTCTGTATAACAATATGGCAAGATGGTACAAAGAGGTTTGTGCGTTTAACCTGTGAATGAAATAAAACACAACTCCAAGTATGTTTGTGATGAGGACATAGAAATTTAGAAACAACGTAGATCAGAAAACAGAGTAATATGGGCCCTTTAAACAATAACAAATGCCGACCGTGATTTTACATTTTTTTCATTGTAAATGTTGATGTTGATCTAAAATGTCTTAGTAATAAAAATTACATTACACTGACTGAAAAAAATGCGGAATTTATTATGATTTTACATGTGTTTCCTTAATTTTCAGTTATAGTAGTTTTGGATGCAATCCAAATGGATACATTTTAGCATTAAAGAAACGTGTTCCATGAAGATTTCGATGAATTTGAGAGAGAAACTACAGGACATGTGGAGCTTAAAGGCAATAGGGACAGAAGTGCTGTTAACACGCGAGCTGTCTCAAATGCCTCATATAGTGTTTACAACAGCTCGGGCGTTTAAAATGAGGTGGGTGTGGTTGTACTTATAGCTCTTTACAGTTCTGCTACACCATAGAACAAAACACACTAGACGCATTGTATTTTACTGCTTAGTTACCGGCCTCAGATAGCAATATTTTGGTAAAACGTTATAATAGCCACACCTTAATTAATCTTAATAAAGCATGAACAAAGACTTCATTCATAACAAATAGTTTATTGAACGATTCAGGTTTAGTAACTACTTAATGGTGCGCTATGTAACTTTTCGGCTGGGTGTCCATCACCTGCATGTTTCTATGGATATGGCATAGTTCTACCTGGACTGTTCCATAGTATGACATAAAACAGCTTGACCTTACATTTATTCAATTACAGGTGGTTTTATAATTCAAAAATGGAATGGAAAAACAGGCATTCTGACTGTGAGTGGGGTTGCCTCTCCACAGATCTGACCTGTAACTTGGTTTTGTTCGGTCTCCCTGATGGTAGAAAGGTTTAATACCATACTGTGAAACATTCCAGACAAAGCGATAACATCATCATGGAGAACAGCATTTGACGAACTCTCCACACAATAAACCTTTGCACAAGTTACACAATAAACCTTTAAGGTTTAGGGTTAGTAGTTTGGTTTAGGTTACGAATGAAGTAGTTGATTTTTACATTGTTGAAGCTAAACAAACTTGTATCCATCATATTTTTGTCTTTCGTCTTGTTGTCCTGCTGCATGTGTTTAAGTGAGAGTCTGTTTGTCTTTGTGGAGGTGTTAATGATTTAATGACAGAGGGCTGGTCCATACAGAGACTGGAGTGTGTTTGGGTACGGCTCCTGGGACCACCCCCCTCCTCTTCCCCCTTTCTCCTCCTCTCTCCCCCTTCTCCTCTCTCTCCTCAGCCCCCTCATCATCCCAGCAGCAGCTACCACCGACCACACAGACCTCCCTTTGTTTGGGAAAGGTCCCGGGACGCTGCTGCTGACATCACTGGCCGACCAAACCACACATGTTTGGGGCGGGTGGGGGCGGGATGTTGGAGGCACTTCCTGATTACATGGTTGGCTTCTGGACTTTTGGGTTCTTTTGGTGCTATAGCTGAAAAATCCAGCCCTGGGTTTAAAGTAGGGGTTTGTTGCTATGGTGATGTTAGTGGACTTGATGTTTAGGAATCCATGGGTTTCAGCTTCCTGTTATAGGCAAAATTTCGAGTACTTTTTCACATTTGAAAGATATAGCATTTACTTTTAAATTGCTAAAGATACAGTATATCACTTTTTGTAGGTGCCATGTCACCTGCAAAGTTAATACCATTTTCTATGGAGATGGATACATTTTAATGTCATACTGTGGAATATTATATCCAGATGAACAGCATTTCCCTGGAAACAAGATCAAGTCAGGTTTGTGGAGATGCAAGCCTGTTCAAATGTAAAGAACACATATTTTTGTACATGCATTTTAATACAAAAGGAACAACTAATATGAAAAAACATGTTTTTTGTATATATTTATTGGCTCAATAGTTAAATACTGTAGCTTTAATATCTCTCATTCTGAACCCAATGAATATGATTTATAGAATAACTGAATACTCACAATATACTAATTCATATTCACTTGTGAGTAATCTGCACTTGGTTGAAACTTCGTCAGTGGGACTGAGTCAGGGCTAAAGCACTCTATGAATCAATCCATAACCTAGAAACCACTGGAAGCACTGTGTTGTATTAGCAAAAAGTCCAAAGTTGTCCACGTATTCATATTTGGTAAAAGAGTAAGCATCCTGTGCTTATAAATCAAAGATAAAAAAAAACAAGATAAGCTCGTAAAAGATAACAAAACTGTTGCCAAATGTTTGCAATTTTGCAAAAGGAAGTTGGAAATTGTCAGATAGAAATACATTAGTGTTAAATCTGGATCTCAGCCTGAAAAAATCATTTGATCACATTTTCACCTTTGTGAGACAGAGCTAGAGTTAGATCTGTAGTTAGACCTATAGCTGGTGATCATTTTGACATTACATTTGTACACTACAAACTACATTGTGACACTACAAACAATTAGTTGTAGTGGTTATTGCCATGGCAACTGTACAAATTTCTCAGCACATGGATAGACTTCTAGTATTATTCAAGTGTTTAAAAAATGTATCTTATAGAGCCTTATAACACCATAATACATCTGTGTGGCAAGATGTGCCAATTGTCCATACCAGAGATGCATTAGGAAATACATTGTAAAAATGTAAACAAAAGTGCCATGGAACAACTCAATCAACAGCTGGGTCATTACATTAATTACTCTGTAGTGTCAGTATACAGAATACCCACAGGCGAGATTCCGATGGCGCTCCCCTACCCCCACCCACCATAATAAATAGTCTAATGGGTATTTTGTTAAGACCTTTGAAGCCATTAGTCCATTAATTAGGAATTCTGAGTACGTTCTTAACTGATTTAGTGAAACATCATGTCAGAC